TGTGTGTTGCATCAAATTCTTTGGCTGCGTTTATGGTATCGTCGTTGGATCACTTGTTTCGATTTTTTTTTTCCTGTACACGCAAACCACGAAACGATCAACTCATACCCGGAACCAATTTTCGATGAAATCGCATATATGCCATTTTCACCTAGCGCCGTTGTTCCATTCGATCACGAGACGAATTGTAGCGATTGATGACGGAACATGTGCCGATTTATGATGGGACAATTGATGTCTATGACACAGACACATAGCATTCGAATCGATTCGTCTCGGCGAGCATAAAAACGCCGCTGGATACGTTTTGCACTAAAACATTGTTGTTCTTTTGTTTCACAACAGTGTATCGAACAGAACTCAGCTCAATATGAATATTCAAACGGTAACATGTGAAAAAAGATCGGTGTTTTGGGGCAATAGTAATCGAATGCCTAGTGAAAATAATCGATGCAGAGAAATTCAGTCAGTGGTGCTTTAGTTTGTTGATGCATGACAATCATATTATCTAATGATTAAAAATGAAAAGTTTTCCAGCGAACGAACGAACGAGCGAGTGATGTGTCTATAACGCCATTGCCGAGACCGATTATGAAGTGGCTGTTTGTGTGTGCAAATGTGCGCATCGCTATAATTATGCATCATTCTATTATCCGATCAAAATGCATTCAGCTCAGAATCATCATCATTTGCTATACATATCAAGTGGAGAGAGAGAGAGAAAAAAAAAATGCAAGAAATCTGCCGTAAATCACAAACGGCTGTATTTATACGCGCTAACAACAGAAAGTGAGTAGAGAGCAAAAAAAAAAAATCGTACGTACAACGATAATGAAATGGAAATGATGAGCGAGAAATGAAAATCGAAACCAACGATCAACAAAATATGATCATCATCATTGCAATGACGAATCAACGGTGCAAACACACATTAGATTGTAAGAGTGTGTATGTTTGTGTGTTGTGGAGTGTTTTTCTTTCGGTTTGATTTAGCTAGGCAAGCAAACGTTGAAGCCCGCTTTTCGATAAAGATGAATTATAGTAAACATGGTTTGCAGTTTTTTTTTTCGAAGTCTTAAGCTCTAAACTTGTTACTCGTGCCTCCATTTGTTGTTGTGGTTGTTATTGTTTTTTTTTTCTATATTCACCATATAACTAACACAATTTGTTTGGGCTGATGATTTCCATCGGATTCGTGCAAAATGGATTGTATGTATGTGCATATGATGTATTATGTGTTTTTGGTTGGCTGTTAGTAGGCGTATCAAAATCGAAACGACTCTTATCGTGCCAAGCCAACCAACCAGCCAGCCGATGCAATATAATTCATGTGCGTCAGCTTATAGCCTCATTTTTGTGTATTTTTCGGAATTTTGTTTTTTGCTACATATTTTATGCGGTTACTTCTACTCGATGTGTATTTTGTTTTTCAAAAACACTTGGTTTCGATCTTACTTTTTTTTTCGTAAGTTTTCTGTGTGTTTTTTTTGTTGTTGTTGTTAGACACATTCATTTGTGGCATACAAAGTGAAAGATAAAAAGAAATTGCGATTCAATTTTTATTTGGTTTTCGTGAAATGAAGATGATTGCCTTAGCCATAAACAAGAAAATCAATTTGCCGTGAACAATGAATGAACAAATAAAATGAAGAAGAAGAAGAAGAAAAAAAAACAACAACAACAAACACCACATACACTTCTTAACACTCTACAATACATAACATAAGTTTGCCATCATCCATTCTATGTGTTTTACCGTTTTTCGATCGCTTTTGCATACACATTTTTCTTTCTTTCTTCGCGCTTTTTTTTTTTACTTTCATGCTCATTTACCCAATTGTATTTGCATAACAATTTATAATGTGGTTGTCGAACTGGTTGTTGATAAGTTTTTGGTTCGACACCGCAATGGATTATTTCGGTGTCAGAAGATCATTTACTCAGCCGATGAGTGTGACACACTGATCATATAGATCGTGATCAACAGCATTGTTGACACAGACACCGTGCACACAGTTCGAGCGATGAAAAAAATTCGTTTGACCTATCTTACACTTAAGTCAATATTACCTCTTTCAATGGATTTTCAGCGTCAAGTATCCGAATACTTCAGGCCACACACACACACACACACGTGTGCGATATGGTTCCGGTGGAGTGTAAATTTACTATACCAATTCAAATGCTTGTCCGAATTCCATCAACTTAATTAAGTTTTGTCACAAATTCACTCATTTTTCTCTATTTACCTCAATATCTAAACAAAACACATATTTACACTAAAAATCGCTGTTCATTTCGTCTTAGATTTCACCGATCCGATCGTGAACTGTCTACAAATCACTGCTCAAAAGAGAATGACCAATAACATCAGCAAAATAAAATCTCAACTCATCATTCAATCGAAAGCATTTTGATTCATTTTGTTTTGCACTTAACAATTAGCAATCACTTGTCGACTGAGCGAGTCACAATTATAATTGAAACCGAAGAAATAAACAATGTGAAGATGCTTAATCTGTCTAAATTGAGCTTTAGCTCAGTCTGTGTCTTTTTCAGTACAAAACGACCGACTGGGTCATTGTTAGTGCAGCAATACAGTAACGTAGATCATGATAAAAAGCAACAAAACGCCAAATAAAACAACAACAACAAATCGAAGAATATCGAGACGTGAGTGCGAGGGGAAACAAAATAAAGCGTTGAGAATAGAAAATATCACGATAAATTTATATAGGTATGTTATAGAGTACACGCGCGGCAACAGTTCGTTGTAGCACACGTCTGCTCAGCTATGAGCAACACAGCACACTGCAGCAAACATTGATTCAATACTTTGACTGTTGCGCCCGTTTAGTTTTAATCGTCATTTTTTTTTCGCGCTATGGCAATCACACGATTCCGTTGCAGCCTGCTGAAAATCCCATTCTCATCTCTCTCGTATGGCTTTTTGGTTGGTATGCGCGTGGCGGGTGCGCTCGCGCTCGCGCGCGTCCACGATCGCCCCATTCGCTGGTTCGTATTTCGTCTCTTGTTGTGTAGCTAGTCTTTCGGTCTTTCTATTCTGTCTTTCAGTTTTGATATGATCGAATCGGATCGGTTCGGTTGATGGGTCGGTCGGTCGGTCGGTTGAAGGCAGCATCTCATAAGCGAAACGGACATTGAACACAACAACAACCACAGCAATAGCAACAGTACCAAGAGAGAATAGAAGAAAAAAAAAACCGAAACGCTTAGATCTTATTTGTTTACACACATGAGCTCAATTTATCTAGTTTGGTTCAGTTTTTCAGACCTTTTGTTTCTATAAAAAAATATGTTTGCGATACGGATAAACGGATCACCAACCATTTTTTATGAGCAGCATAAAATGATACAACCGACTGAATGTCAGATCGTTTAAATATTCAAAACGAAAGCAATCAAGTGAGATATTGATACGGGGCTGATACACGCGCGAACCAGTCTAATCTGTGAAATCAACATGTACCATCTCTAGTTTGCCCAAGAAACAGTTATACAGAGGCCCCGTCAGTCTGTTCCCAGTCGCATCGAAATTATTTTATGATTTCGTCAATCCAATTAGAATTGACCATCGGAATATGAGATAGAGTGTAACACTAGGTGTAACATGTGTGTGGCATGCTGGTTTACCGTTAGAACCACAGCTTCTTCTTGCGGCATCCGAACCAATACCAATAACAACAGCGCAACAACAGTAACAAACTGAACGATGGAATTGAGTTATTTATGAGACAGATAGACTTTGGTACACAGTGAAAGGCGGAAATTGTATCTCCATTTAAATAAATAATAATAGAATTACGATTATCTTGATACAATTGTGAACAAAATGCGATCGAGTGACATTTACGTTCGCTAGATGTCCTCACCGGTTGCTCTCATCGAATGTTTTTTATCCAATTTCTTTTTTTTCCTACTTTAAATCACATTGAAAGCTTTTTCACAAATATATTGCATATTTTTCCGATGAAAAAGCGTTTAAAATTCCATCTTGGCATTTCTGTCTATGGTCACATCATCATTGGTATTTAAAAAAAATTAATTAATTAGCTCAATTGAAAATGAATTTTATGGTTTCAAATGCATTTAGAGTTTCCATGTGTGTCATATCATTGGATTGTGCGCGCCCGCATCGGGCAATCCCCGTCAACAGAAGAAGACGAATACGAAGCGAAGAGAGAAGCAGAAATTCCCAAATTGAATTTCACAACGTTAAACGTGTGTACACACGATGTGAAGTGAATATGAAAAGAGAGGGAAAACCTAAATGCGTTTTAAATGTGCACACACAGTTTGCTGCGACTAAACTCGAAAAGTACAACGTTCAAACCCGTACGGTCGTTCCATTCGCACAGCCACCGTACAATGGCCATGCGTCACATCGCGTTGTCTCGTTTCACCATTCGAACTGGTTCTACGTTCACTTTTCATTCTTTGTATCGCATTAAACGAGTAAAGTCCCTGCTGATGTGAGGTTGTGTGTATATTGCTAAACTTTTAGCACAACAAATCTCACATTTTGTGAAAAAAATAAAAAAAAACCAAAAAAAAACAAAAAAAAATTAAAAAAAACCATTAAAAAACTTTTAAACACAAAAAAATCGAAAAATAGTAGTTTAAAAATCATACATAAAAAAACATCGTGTGTGACTGTGTACTATTTTGAAGGGAAAAAAAAACGTACGTGTGCCAATCAACATTTTGGTCTTTTTTATCATTATATTTTTATTATTTAGATTATTTAAACATTTCATGTGTGTCTTTCTCTTTGACTCGAATGCCACATTTTATTCGGATTGTCTAAAAAAAACGTCAGTTTTTTTCTCGATACCGTTGTATTTTTTACGAATAAATACTGTCCGACCAAGAGTGAATTTTTCGGTGAGTGAGTGTCTCGTGTGTCGAGTCACACATTCTCAGTCGGCTGTGACTATATCACAAAAATGTGTAATAATTTTATGATATTCTCTGTTCGCTTATTTTTTTTTTTTGGTGTGTGACCATTTTCGTGTCGATGTGTCTTTCTCACATTCAATTGCTCGCTCTTTCTATCCCGTTCGCGCGATAACAACGGACGCACATACACGCACCGCAATCCGTAAATGAAATTTACGAACCGAACAATTTTTCTGTGTTTTTCTTATTAAATTAAATTAAATCAAATGACAAATAACAAAATTATTACTATGACAACCGTATTTGATTTTAATAATCATGAAATTTATAATCAATTGTTGTTGCTAATGGAAATGCCGTTTCTATTTTTCTTTCTATTTTTATTCTTGGTATCGTCGATCGTTTTTGGGCTGTGATGAATACTGTTACTGCTGTTGCTGCCGTTGCCGCTGCTACGTTTTTTTTTTTTAACAAAAATCCGTATCGGCTTTTGGATTTGGCGCGTGTGAAAGTAGCGAAATAAAGAAGGGAAATCACAATGGCGTCACTCTATGTAGGCGATTTACACGCGGATGTCACTGAAGCAATTCTGTTTGAGAAATTCTCGACGGCTGGACCAGTATTGTCAATCCGTGTTTGTCGCGATGTTATTACTCGTCGTTCCCTTGGATATGCCTATGTCAATTTCCAACAACCGGCTGATGGTAAGTACTCAATGCCAGAGATTTGTGTTTGTGTGTGACGACCAACAGAGGAAAAAAAATGAAATGTTGTGGCCGCCCCATCGTTTTGGGCATATTCCGGTTCGGACAATTTACAAAGTAAAAAAAAATATATCACATAATTCAATGGGACCGACAAAAAATATGCATCGAACATTCGACCCGCAAAAACACGAGCAACCGATTTTTATTCGATGAATTAACCGTAGTCACCTTTGCATTATTGCGGCCATGTGGTGTTGATTTTCACACATACTTCTTTTTTTTCTTGTCAATCGTTTTGATGCGGTTTCAAAGCTGAAAATCATTTTGTGAAGTGAGATTTATTGTAAATTTTCGTGCAAATACTCAATGCTCATTTTCGTTAGCATGTCAAACCAAAAAAAAAATGAAGAGGCAATTGCATTTCGATACCCGACTGCAATTCAGATAGTTCAATGCGATCCTCTCCGTGTGTCATTCATTTTGAACACGTGTACTTTTTTTTACACTGTGTGTGCCATTCGCATTGAGCCCTATCGACGTTCCATTCCGACGTTTTCTCTTGCTACAATACGGGAGCCGCCATCTTTTTTTATTTCTTCTCATCGGTTTCGTACGCTGTGGCTATGTACTCACTCGCTCGCTCGCTCGTTCGTTCAACATGCACACACACGCGTACATACACAAGCGCAAGCGTATTACATGCACCAAAACGACGGCGTGTGTGTGTGTGTGTCTGTGTGTACCATTTCGGTTCAGAAAGTAGCTCTCCAATGTATAACCAAATAACCATATGATTCACATATCATACTGAAATCTGCGTATGTTTTTTTTTCGTTTTGTTCGAGCGTGTTTACGGAGACAACTGTTGTTGAACAGAAACCGATTTTCTCCGTATGGAAATATTTTGTCGAAATGAACAATTTCCAATCAACGCAATTGGCAACACAAATGCATTTGAAAACGGCGACGACGACGATGATGATAGGATGATTCATGCACAGGAACACAAACAATGAGTGCGATATGATAAAAATAAATATGAAATGTGAATGTGTTTTTTTTTGTTCGTAAGTAAACACATTACTTTCATGGCTGAATGGAATGCATGGGTCTCGTCTAGCTATCTCTCTCTCTCTCTTTCTGGCTGTAGTTTTGAGCGCTTATCGAAATGCGATAATAAGAAAGAAAAAAAAAAGCTAATCCAAACGCAAATCCAAAGAAATGTTTCCATCATCATAAACAGATAGCGAAACGCATACAACGTGCATCAAACACATGAATATTTGAACTAGTCTTGGACTGTTGCTCATTTCAATTTTGCATGCGTTGACTTGATTTCGTTCGACAGCGTCGATATTTGTTTTTGCGTCTTTAGAAAATTAACGATATGCATTTTAAAAGAGACCAATGTTTTTGTTGTTGTTGTGTGAAAGGAGTCCACAACAATGGAGTTTGGAATGAATTTCATTTGTCCATTCCATTCCGATTGATTTTAATCAAATAAATACTTATTCGTCAAGTCTTTTGTCAACCGCTGATAATTTCAATGTTTTTAGAAATATTTACTGATACTGTCTTGTCTCTTTCTTTCTTTTCTCTTCCACATTTTTCTTGATATGAATTATCACATCGATAGCTGAACGTGCCTTAGATACCATGAACTTTGATGTACTCAAGTCTCGACCAATCCGTATTATGTGGTCGCAACGGGATCCATCGTTGCGTAAATCGGGCGTTGGTAATGTGTTTATCAAGAATTTGGATAAGAACATCGATAACAAAGCCATTTACGATACATTCTCGGCATTTGGAAACATTTTGAGTTGTAAAGTGGCTCAAGATGAAAAGGGAATGTCCAAAGGCTATGGATTCGTTCATTTTGAAACCGAAGAAGCGGCCAATACATCCATTGAAAAAGTCAACGGTATGTTGTTGAGTGGTAAAAAAGTCTTCGTTGGCCGCTTCATTCCCCGTAAAGAGCGCGAAAAGGCTTTGGGCGAAAAGAACAAATTGTACACAAATGTTTATGTGAAAAACTTTGGTGACGAATTGAGCGATGAAACGTTGCGCGATATGTTTGAAAAATTCGGCAAAATCACCAGCCATAAAGTGATGTCGAAAGATGATGGAAAATCGCGTGGATTCGGTTTCGTTGCATTCGAAAGTGCTGAAGCAGCCGAAAATGCCGTCAAAGCATTGAATGGCAAAGAATTGGGCGACGGCAAAGTATTGTACGTTGGCCGTGCTCAAAAGAAAATCGAACGTCAACTCGAATTGAAACGTAAATTCGAGGAAATCAAAACAGAACGATTGAGCCGCTACCACGGCGTCAATTTGTATGTCAAAAACTTGGACGACACAATCGATGACGAACGTTTGCGCCGCGAATTCGATCCATTCGGCACCATCACATCAGCTAAGGTTATGCTGGAAGACGGACGCTCTAAGGTAAGTGTCAAAATCGACCCAAGCTAAGCTAATTAACTGCAATTTGTGCAAATGAGTCAAGACTCTAATGTGTTTATTTTTCTTCTTCTCTTTCTTCGATTGATGATTAGGGATTCGGTTTTGTCTGTTTCTCAGACCCTCAAGAAGCCACCAAGGCAGTCACAGAAATGAACGGTAGAATCTGTGGTTCGAAACCATTGTACGTTGCATTGGCTCAGCGCAAAGAAGAGCGTAAAGCTCATTTGGCCGCCCAATACGTGAATCGCATTAATAATGTACGTATGCAACAACTCGGACACATCTTCCAGCCAGGCGGTGCTGGTGGTTACTTTGTACCAACATTGGCTCCACCACAACGATTCTACGGACCACAAGTCACACACTTGCGAAGCCAACCAAGATGGGCAACGCAACAACCCGTACGCCAACAGGCCGGTGCACAAAATGCCGACGTCAAGGTATTGCATCCAGCTGCTGGTGGCTATCCAAATATCACTGGCGCTACAAATGCCCAATATCGTCAAGCACCAGCTGCTGGCGTACGCCAACAAGCCCAAGGTGGCCAAGGTGCACAAGCCGCAGGAATTCGCAATTCAGCACGACCAATCACCGGACAACAGCAAGCCGTTCAGGTATGCAAGCGATTTTTTGCACCCCATTTTTGGATACAATTTGGCATTTCAATGCTGAAAAAAGACTTTCCATAAATTGAACTGATTAACAATGTGCATGCTTTTGATTCTCATAGGGACGACCAATGCCATCAGGACCAGTGCCTCAGGCAAATCAAGCTCGTGCCGCCAACTACAAATACACAGCAAACATGCGCAATCCACCAGCTCAAAATGTTGCAATGGTTCCACAAGCAGCTCCAGTCCAAGCTGTACACGTCAAGGGTAGGTTTTTTGCCTTTTTGAATTGTTTTGTCAGGTTTTTCCATTGTGATTGATGATCGATCATACATGATTTCTTTTTCATGCATTGATTACGATTCCTTCTTGATTCAATCATGAATTTGTTACCATTTGTACTAATAAAATGTCGTTATTTTAGGTCAAGAGCCATTGACTGCAACAATGTTGGCCGCTGCTCAACCAGCCGAACAGAAGCAAATGCTCGGTGAACGTTTGTTCCCAATCATCGAATCTATGTATCCACAATTGGCCGGTAAAATCACCGGTATGTTGTTGGAAATCGACAATTCGGAACTATTGCACATGCTTGAACACAACGATTCGTTGAAAAACAAAGTCGATGAAGCCGTTGCCGTACTTCAGGCCCATCAAGCCAAGCAAGCTGTCACATCTGGCGGAAAATTGGAATAAATTCTATGAAAGTTCGCAAGCTTACCAACAACAACAACAACAACAACAACAAAAGCAGCAACAACAACTTTTTTTTCTTTTTCCTCTGTAAAACCAATTTTAAAGTCGCAATAAAATACATTCCGTTGCGTTAAATTGAGAGAAAAGCAAAAAGAAAAACCAACGAAAAAAAATATACACACAAAATACCAAAATCAATCAATTCATACACACAAAAACTGAACTCTGTCCATTGGAGTATCAATGAATAATTATGAAAAAAAGAACAACAGCAACACAGACATCAACTCTCTTCGCACCATTTTGCGGATGCAAGAGAGGATGATAAATCTTACGAATACCATCATAAACAAACATCATCAGGCGACTTTAATCAAACTACTTTTTTTCTTTATCCCTCTTTTCGTTTGTCGATTTAAGAACCAAGAAAATAATTCTTACCATCCTTTTTTTTGTTTTCTCCTCCAAGTTCTTACCACAATCCAGACCTTTTTTTTGTCCGAAACCTTTTTTTTACAGATTTCATACAGAAAAAAATGATGATTTTCAGAAAGCTCAACAACAAAAAATGCCATTTATTTTCCTTTTTTGTTTATCAAATTTTTTTGTTTGTTACAAATTCTATCGATTTTTTTGAAACACAACACTAAATTTTAAAAAAATAAAAAAAAGAGAAAAACACCCAAAACTCAATGAAGAGAATAAAAAAACACAACATCAGCAAACGAAAAAAAAGAAGAAATACACTAAGAAAACAAAATAAAAAAAAGTGAATAAAAGTTTAATTGAAACAAAAATTAAATAAAAGAAAAAACTCGATCCGAATTTATCGGCCACACTCTGGAGGTGAATGTTTCGAGGTGGTCGATTTTTGGAGAAAAAAAATTGTAAAATATCAAAATTCTGCAAAAAAAATGAGAAGAAACAATGATTCAATAAAAAAAAACAAACGGCACGAATCAGAAGAATAACAACAAAAAATGAAGAAACAGATAGGAATTCTCTTGAATTGCAACGATCTTTTGATACGGTCAAAACCGACAAAGTAACTCCCCCAAACAAAATGCGCTGGCATTTCGAGAGAGAAAACAACAACAAATCATCGTGGTGCCAATCGCAATATCAATTGTTGGGTTCCTTTTTCTGTACATGATAACAATTTCTTATCGAAAAATCATTTTTAAAAACAACAACTTAAACAAAGATATCATGCAAAACTAAAACAAAATTATAATTATCAAGTTTGTTTTTTGGAACAAATCGAATCCATTTCAAACGTTGCAATTTGACCAGCAAATCAACATCTACATTTGTTCAAGAGAATGATAAAAACAAGTCATATGAAAAAGATTTTTTTTTAAATGAAAAAAACAAAAGCAAAGTTTAAAAAAAAATGAGAAACACACACATGAAGGGACTACAGCATGAAGAGGAGTAGGAAAATTTGTTGAAATAATCCAATGGAAAAAAAACATAATGAAAGAATAAGTTCAATTTTATACTCTTTTCGATCATTTCACGTTATGGTTATTATTTTTTTTTTGAAGAAAACATTTTTGTCTAAATCTTCGTTCAGATTTTCAGATAAAACAATCTTTTTTTTTCTCGTTAATTTTTCACATTACTGTTTGTAACAAAAAAACATTTTTGAATTTCGAAAAATTTCCGTTCATTTAAAATACAACAACATATTGTAACCTTTTTTTCTTTTTGTCAAAAATAAAAACACACAAAACCACAAAAAAACAACCGGACCACTGCTTTTTCTTCTTTGCCTTCTTCTTCTAAATAGGTTCGGAAAGTCGAAATCGCAAATAAATGAGCCGTTTAATTGTCTTTCAATACGGGTTTGGCTCTGATTTTGTATTATCGCACTTCCATGTATTTGGATACTCAAAATACTGACGTCAGCTCAAAACACTATTGAACGCTCTATTGAAAACAATTTATTTGGACTGTTAGTCACAAAATCAAAATGATACCCTAGAAGCAAGTGAACTTATGAAAATTTGCTCTAAAACTGAGACAGAAAATACTTCGTGAGTGAAATGTCGTATGTGAATGTGGTGATGGACTGTTACTAGGGGGTAAGAACACAAGCGCTTGAGACGAATTCGTACGAATATTCGTGAATTCTTGTGATTGTGTATGGGAGACATTCGCAGCGCAGTGAGTGTACAACAACAATAACAAAGCCACGAACGCATGAATATGTACGAATGTATACGAATATCACAACTTGTTCCTAGCCCCTAGGACTGTTAACATCTAGGAATAATACAAAATTCTTTCAATAATTTCTATAGAAGAGAATAATACTCCGAATATATTCCACAAGCGCTTTCTCTCTACCACACAATTAATTTCATTATTGGTTATACCATTTATAACCATAATTTTGGCCTGAATGTACATATACTAGCCGGCCCTCGCTTCGTTCGTCCCGTCAAATGATAAAAATTACTGATGAAAATTATTTAAAAAAAAAATTATTCATTTTTCGATTTAAACGGACATCAATGAATTAAACTTGACTTTCCAAGATGAGATGAAAATACAAACACAAGTTGAAACATTTAACAGAAAATCATTATTCAGTTCTAATTTTTTTACTTAACTTTGGGTCCATGATTTTTTTTCACCTAACACTCCGAAGCAATTAAAGAATGCAAAAAAAACTAAGTTTACTTTTGGACCAAAGTCATACCAAATGCTATGTTTCACCTTTTTCTTAACATAATTTTGACATGTTCCACTTTGGTTCAACTCGCGGTTTTTTTTTCTTTTTTTGACAAATGACAAATGATATTTTATGTGATCATAGTTGATTTAACCCTCAACTGCATAAGCCCGCCTTTTGGCGGGCATCATTTAAACACCTGTATAATGTGAATCGTACGGCGGATGACATTGCTTCAAGGGGAAATTTTATTTGTCAATGTTTTTTTTTTTTGTCTTGGCGTCATTTGTCTATGTCGTACGATTGGTGAGTTATAAACAAAAATGCGCACGAAAACGAAAATTTGACAAAATAAATTATTCGGTTTCCAAATAAGACATATTTTTGACACTTTTAAACAATGGATTTCATTGTTCTCTGACTTATTTCTATCGCATTTCCTGACTAAACCATGGGAAATCTAGGATTATGAATATTTTTTTCGTTATCTATGGCCAAAGATCAACCAAATACCAGTACTCCCAGTCCTAGGAAAAATTCATGCAGTTGAGGGTTAAACTTAAAAAATATTTCATTGCGGCAATTCTTTTCTGTTAGAAATTGCACATATTTTTCGGCAATTCTGCAAAAAAATCCAAATATTGGTTACTATTTTCAAATACCAGAATTTTATTTTAAGTACATGTGAGATTTTTCTCCAAAATTCAGTTTACCTTTTTCTGACTTTTTTTCCGCCTGTTCGAGAATATGTACAGCACTTGAATGATTATTTAATTTAGCAAGAAATAGCGCTGTTAATCCAAAACTGTTTGTGGCATGGACATCTGCACCATTATTGAGGAGTAATTCGATCAGTTTCACATCACCATTTTTTGCCGCCCTTCGAAGCGGACTCCATAAAACGGTCGTTTCGGCGGAGTTCACATCACTTCCACTTTTTATTAATAGATCTACCATTTTGTGTTGTCCTGGAAAAAACATAATCTCCATTTAATTTCATTTGACTCTTTGATTTGTGCAGATCACGTTTTTTTAACTTTACCTCCGCGGACAGCTTTTATCAGTGGAATGCCTGCATCATAAATATCTTTTTCGTGAATTTGATATTTGTAGCCCTTTTCCATTAGAGAATGAAATAATTTTTCATAACCTGATTGAATGAGAATCACATTATTTAACTGAGTTCAAAGCCAAAAAGCGAATGCGTTTTTTCGTACCGTATAAAGCAGCCAAATGCATTGGAAGATGTCCATTATTGTCCACATAAGTTGCATTTGCTCCCTCTTCAAGAAGACGTATGGCCTCAGTTTCGTTTCCTGAAAAATAATGAATATTCTGTGAGATATCTGCTCACAATTTCATAATGATTTGATCACTTACTAGATTTTAGAGCTCTGATTAAGTCACAACTAAGAAGTTTTTGAAAAACGAAGAGAAGAAAATAAATCGATTTTTGTAATGTGCACAATCGAAAAATGTGAATTTGGTAAAACTTACCCATCTTTTGGATCACTAGTTGCAAATACACAGCTTGCACTTATTACGATTAAAACGGAAAACTTCATTATACCACACAGCATCCTAGATATTTAAAAAAATACATATGGAAACAAATGAAATTTAATCTGCATCTGAATCTCAATTAGAAATTGATATATATATATATATATATATGGATGCGAGAGCGCAAAAGAGCAACTTGGATTCGCAGTATTTTAAAGTGTAACATCTCCATACAAACATATACGTGTTTTGTATGGAGATATTACACTTTGAAATACTGCGAATCCAAGTTGCTCTTTTGCGCTCACGCATTCATATAATTTTAGTAATTTATACTAAACTCACTTATGAGACTTACTATTTACTTTCAATAAGAAAACGAAAAATTCGTGTTGAAAAAACAATTCGAAGTGTTTTTATGACGATACTTGATGTTACCAGCTCAACAGTTGGATTTCAATTGATTTAAAACATTCAAATACATGCATTGAGAAAATGGATTTGAGTTTAACGAGAAAATATTTCGTATTGATTTGGAAGCGAATGCTGTTTGTAACCTAATTATGTTATCAATTCATACTTGCTCTAATTACACCTCGAACTAAATGAATGAGATAGATAGAGAATGAGTTACACTAATTACTAATCGTTATCCATTCATATGAAACAATGCGAGAGGATTCGTTCATAACGACACTGCAGACAAAAAATCTATCAAAACGGAACACCGCAAAGCGAAATACTTAAAACGGCACATGCTATGTTTCATTCTTACGGATTTCTTTTCCATGTTCCATTTTAATGGATTGCTTTATTTTTGTTTCGTATCTGTGTATTGAGCGACGAAAGTCTCTGGTTCATTTCAACCGCATCAAATACACTAAGAATACAAAACAAAAAAAAGTGAATAAAAGTTCAATTGAAACAAAAATTAAATAAAAAAAAAGCTCGATCCGAATTTATCGGCCACACTCTGGAGCTGAATGTTTCGAGGTGGTCGATTTTTGAAGAAAAAAAGAATTTGTTTCATTTTCACCGTCGATGCTTGACTGTACGCTCAAAAGTCGTAAACAACACACACATTAAAATTTGACAGTCTAATCGTGACAGTCCATTTGAAAATAATCAAAATTCTGTAAAAAAATGAGAAGAAACAATGATTCAATAAAAAAAAAACAAACGGCATGAATCAGAAGAACAACAACAAAGAAATTTCAAATCGACAAAGTAACTCCCCCGAACCAAATGTCCTGGCATTTCGAGAGAGAGAACAACAATAAATCATCGCGGTGCCAATCGCAATATCAATTGTTGGTTTCCTTTTTCTGTACATCAATGCCAATTTTAAGCTGCAGTTTTATGACAGAGTAAGGTTGAAGCTATCATAAAATATATGGTTTATACCATTTGATTCGGTACAGTAAGAAATACAGAATTTTGAAATTGGGCAAATTTTTTTTGAGGGGCCAACACACGGGAATGATTCGGAAAATTTTCAAACATTTGGCTATTATTTCCATTCGGAATGAAGTTTTGAAGCTAACTGTGTACAGAAACATGTCTTTTGATTTCATGATTTAGGCTGGAAAGAAAAACACTGAAAAAAATATTCATTCACGGTTTTTATTATGTTTCTATTGAAAAAAGACGTTGTGAATAAATCACGATTTTCCTCGAAAAATCGTATGAATTTTCGATTGGTCGCATCATTATTTCAAATTATGTATGCTAACCTTCATAAAAGACCTAAAATTGAATAGATTCTTCACATTTTGTTTGTGTTTAAGCAGAATTTCTAGAACTTTGCAAAAAAAAAAATTGAAAAAAAGAGGTTACCACTTGAATGGGATAACCAACGAAGGGATGTCTGGAAATAAATTTATCATCAGCACAATATGTTCCCTGGCAGCATTCAATCCATCAAATAAAAACCCATTTCAGTTGGCGATCGTTTTTCTTAAATCCAAATTATAATTTACATTTATTTCGAGTTTCTTGATTTTTACATATTTATAATCTTAACTAGAGGGTGTTTATTATTTTACAATTGCTAAGCGCATGATCCATAAATTTTCGATAAAAGGGAATAAAATGAGAAGATCGAATGAAAAATAAATTCACAAGAACGAATCGAATAAAGTTTCGTTCTCTTTTCTACTAAATTTTAAACTTGAATAATTTTTTTGATTCAAAATGAATCAAATTGGATTGCTACATTGATTAAATCTGCGTTTCACTTCAATTTCATCACTTTGAAGACAAATGATATTTTATGTGATCCACGTCAGACTTGCGGTCTATATTACTCTATGTATTTGCTCTGGAATCGAGTGACGGTGGCACTCTCTGCATAATCGATTGCGAATTTGCTATATTTGTATGTTAAATATCCCTGTGACGTTTGACAGAACAGAGAGTTCACACGATTGTATTTCCATTAGCCTCAGACTATCCAGGTGGTGTTTGCGCTCAATATCAAATTCATATCGCAAGGCAGACGTGATGTGATCATGGTTGATTTAAATAAAAATGCAAAAGTGGTTGATTAAAACTTAAACAAAAATATTTCATTGCGGTAAATATGATGGTTTTGTTGGAGTTCTTTTCTATCCAATAATGATTGGAAAAACGCACATATTTTTCGGCAATTCTGCAAAGAAATCAAAGTATTGGTTATTATTTTCAAATACCAGAATTTCATTTCAAGTACATGTGAGATTTTTCTCTAAAACTCAGTTTACCTTTTCCTTTTTTGGCTGAATTTATTTCCGCCACTTCAAGAATGTATGCAGCACTTAAATGACCATTTAATGTAGCAAGTTGCAGTGCTCTAACTCCGAAACCATTTGTGGAATAAACATCTGCACCATTATTGAGGAGTAATTCGATCATTTTTACATCGCCACTCCTTGCGGCCAATCGAAGCGGATTCCATCCAACGACCGTTTCGGCGGTGTTTACATCACTTCCACTTTTTAATAAAAGATCTACCATTTTGTATTGTTCTGGAAAAAACATAATCTCCATTTAATTTCATTTGACCCTTTGATTCGATTTGTGCAGATCACATTTTTTTAACTTTACCATTGCGGATAGCTGACATCAGTGGAATGCCTGCATAAAAATCATCTTTTTCGTGAATTTGATATTTGTAGCCCTTTTCCATTAGAGAATGAAAGAATTTTTCATAACCTGATTGAATGAGAGTCACATTATTTAACTGAGTTCAAAGCCAAAAAGCGAATGCGTTTTTTCGTACCGTATAGAGCAGCCAAATGCATTGGAAGACGTTTGTGACGGTTCACATAAGTTGCATTTACTCCCTCTTCAAGAAGACGTATGGCCTCAGTTTCGTTTCCTGAAAGAATTGAATATTTTGTTAATATCATACTCACAATTTCATAACGATTTGATCACTTACCAGTTTCTAAAGCTTTAATCAGGTCACAACTGAGAAGAAGTTGAAAAAACGAAGAGAAGAAAATAAATCGATTTTGCACAATCGAAAAATGTGAATTTGGTAAAACTTACCCATCTTTTGGATCACTAGTTGCAAATGCCCAGCTGGCACTTATCACGATTAATACGGAAAACTTCATTATAACACACAGCATCCTAGATGTTTGAAAAAACACATATGGAAACAAAAGAAATTTAATCTACGTCTGAATCTCAATTTTAGTAATTTATGCTAAGCTCACTCATGATTACTATTTACTTTCAATAATTCAAAGTGTTTTTGTGATGATACTTGATGTTACCAGCTCAACAGTTGGATTCGAATTGATTTAAAACATTCAAATACATGCATTGAGAAAATCGATTTGAGTTTAACGAGAAAATATTTC